AATAACAGACAGATTATAGTTACTTTTAGTTTCAGATATTGATATCAAAAATTCTAGAATACGTAATATAATTAGTCAAGAAATGTTACAAATTCATGTTTATTTTAAGTGATCAGAAGATCCAAACACAAAAATGTGGACTTCAACATCTTTAACAGGAATAGACAAGCTAAAAGTATTATAAAATTTCAATTTAGATTTATTATTTTCAAACAAAAGTCGTGCTCAGTTAATTCGACGATTATGAAATGGTTTTAATGAACTTTATGAAGATATACATAAGCAGTATATAAATAGTATTGAATTTAAAAAAAAAGCACTTGAATAAATAAATCTATTTTTAACACCATCTTTGGGTAATTTTATTCTTTACAAGCTTTTGCTATAACAAAACTATTTATATTTTTTTGATTTAGGCAATCCAAATCATCCACAAATCTTTGTCAAAGGACTTTATCGGCCAAATGATATTACCCCCTATATTCATACCTTGATCTATCATATTCCAGAGTTTCTAAATCTTTATTCAAATTTTGGTTTAATTAGCTTTTCCTGTTCTGCAGTTGAAAAGAAAAATCATCAACATGTTGTATATTTTTTTTTGAAAAACTTTAAAAGATGGTGGAGGTGAAGATATAAATAAATCGGTTATCATCGAGATAATGGAATGGAAAAACAGAAATTTATATTTCTTAACACATGATGTGCCTGTTTTTTTTGAAAAAATTACTACTATTAACGTTAAAGATATGCAATAGATCTTTAAGGCTAATAAATTTATACTGCACATACTGTACGTATAATTACATATAATCTCTTCAAGTGCATATATAATACTATTCTTATTTGTTATGCATATATGTATAAAAAAATATTTCTACAATATATATTAATTTGGTAAGTATGAAGTTTATTATTTTTTAAGCCTTTAATTATTTTGAGTATAAAGATAATATCAATAGTCAACTTAAGTTGATAATTTAATCCAATAAATCTTGATATTAAACATCAAAAAATAGTAGCTTAGTTGGTATTAAAGTAATAAATAAAAAAAAATTAATAACTAAATATTTTAAATTTTTAAAATAGGAAATAGTAGGCATCTGCGTGCTATTTTGCTATTTCAAATATGCATATTAAGGTTTATTTAATAAATTAAACTATACACGTTGCAGATTTTTCACATTATACACAATTTAATTATCACATTATTATATATTAAATAAATCAATTTAATTTTCACATTATTCATATTGAGCTAAATGATTCAACTCATTATCAAGATGCTGAATTACCTTGAAACTTTCACAAGATGTTTATGAAATATCTAAGAATAAAACAAATTTTTTTGGCGTGCCAGACACCCTACCAACATAACATTGTAATACGGCATTTGCATATATATGAGAATAGCTAGCATGCATATTCATATTATAAGAATTTTCCAAAAGATTAATTATTTGAAGGCATGTGTATAAGATTGAAAGACGAGTTACATGTTTATTTTCTAAAAAAAATGAATAAGAAATATCAGAAAAATTTTAATAATGATATCATATATTAATTTATAAGTTTATATTATAAATACTCACCATCACATAATTTTGCTTTACCAAGTTAGTTCCATAATTCAACCTCTAACAATCTTTCATCCATGCCTATGTTAACATAATTACAAAAAATATCTCATCCCAAAAATCTTCATTTGTCAGCCTCACCACCTTTCTATTTAATTCATTAGTCTGGACTTTTTTGGCTTCTCAATATACTGTATGTTTAATTTTCTGTTAACCAATTTAAACCTTTTACAATAGTGCTACCAGCTTTAGATATTCGTTAAATAAGGAGATTATTAACAGAAGTAAACTCACATGTAATGCATTCAGATAGAATTCGTGATAAGAGAATAAAGTGATAATAAAATAAATCTTCAATCTATATTAGTACGAATATAATTACATAACTCCATAATATAGTACCATCTATTTTTATTGATAAGAAGACAAAAAACAGGATTATAAAAATAATCAGAATTAAAAGTAGCATAACGATCTTTGAATTTCTGGATCTAACAGAAAACTAGCTACAGAATCCAGCATGTTAATTCTCATCTCTCTATATTTATCATACACTTGATGTTTTTTTGAATCGCCCAAGATTTCATAAGTATGAGTAATCGTTTTGAACTCTTTTAATAAAAGATAAAATATATTAAAAATATAGTATATTGTTATACTGTATAAGTTAAAAAATAAAATACTATAAAATATTTTTAACATATTTACTAAGTAGTAAGATCTTTAATACCTTAGTTCTAGAGGTGCAGGTGAATCGTCCCAATGATGCCGTAACTTTTCTGTAGCATGCCACAACTATATTAAATAATTATAAAAAGTTATAGCAAACATGCTATAACTTTTTATAATTGTTTAATATAGTTGTAGCATGCTATGAAAAAGTTATAGCATCATTGAGACAATTCATTTGCACCTCTACTTAGTCCTAATAAGTAAAAGAATAATAAAGTACAAATCTGAACAGTAGCATTTGGATTTTTATCCAGATGGTATTTTAGTACTAGACTCTACACCCAAAGTACGATATAAAACATAAGTATTCTGCTCTATATTGCCAAAAATTTGATGTTTTGCATACAAAGCGATACAAGTTTTTATTTTTAAGAAAATACGAGGAACAGATGCCTATTATAGAAACTTTGCAGCTATATTTCTTAATTCCAAATTCTGCATATCACCTTATCAGATTTAACTCTAAAGGATCTTTAAGGGTCGAAGATACTGTAGTAAGTTAATACTCAGAATTTCTCATATTTATAATTACAAACCAATAACACTTTCAATCAGTTCACTTATTAGATAAGATTCTTTACTTATATTTATCAGAATTTATATCATCATCATTATCATCCTCTTTATTTGAAAAATCAAGTGCACTTTTACATAGTTGTAATTCACTATTTTCTTCACATAACATTCTGTAATTTGTGGTATTATAGTATTACATACTCTGTCTTTATGTAATAATTCATCTATAGATTCATCCATGTATACAATTGTAATCACCATTTTAAAGAATGGGAAATATTAGTATTATTGGTATTATTAAAAGTTTTTTTTTCTTTAAGACACAAAAATGAATAATGAATTTGATCTATCTATTGTTTGTTTTCTCAACTTTCGATACCTGTATAAAACACATCAAAAATTATATTGGAATCTAATAAATTTCATCGGCACTTATAAATTAATTTTAAAAAGCATACTTATACTTACTATTTTTAATAAATTCTATAATAATTTCTTTACCCGATTGTAATTGTAGTTCTTCGTTATACACCGATGTTTGCCTGGTTTTCTTAATCTGTTTCTTCTGTTTGATTTCATTATGTTTCAGAATTAAACAAAGAAACACTAGTTACTATATTGACCACCAAACGAGATTATTTTTCAAAGTTTGAAAAATTAGTACTAGTGCTTGATCTGATTAGATAAGTAAATTATATAAAATATAAGACCTTTTAAACAAAACATGATTTTTTCAATAAAGAGATTTATAAATCCTTTGTTCTGATAATTTTTCAATAAGGTATTAAGGATTTGTGTTATGTATCACTATTGTGCTATGTAAATTTATACTTATAATGAATTACTTATTTAAATTTAATAAAAGGATGTTCGAACTTTTAAATTTAATAAAAGGGTGTTCGAACTTATTTATTTAAATAAAAAAGTGTATTCTTATTTAAAGTAAAATTGAGCGATATTAAACCAAATAAAAAGATAGCCAGCACTTGATATATGATTTGCTTTATCTATAATTTTTTTACATTCTCATCGAATTTCTAAATATTTAGTTTTTTCATTTTCTGGTTCATTTAAAATTACCCAGGTTTGTTGGTTGTTTTTATATTCTTGAACCCCCTACTTTTCATCTCCAAAATTTTCTTTTAACCTTTCATAGGCATTAGTTCTCATAAAGACATATTGATACCATTTATAGCTTGGTGAATATCAGTTAATATATCCATTAAATACACCAATAAATTGACTTTTTAGACATAAAAATGAGACTAATTATCATCCTACTTCTTATACACTAGTTTTTAATTTGGTTTGTATCATATGAACTACAGTAGTAGGCTTTTAAATTCAATAATTGCTTCTAGTGGTTGTGAAATAAGTCCAGCTTGTAATGTATTATAATGTGAATGAGCTATTGCTTCATAACGATTTAAACCTTTTTAGGTATTGTAGCTTTTTTTAGAACATAGTTTGCAAAATATACACGTGAGATCAGAAGTGAGTTTTGAATAGAGTTATTGTCCTTAACTTGATGAGTTCTTTGCCAATGTAATTGTAAACCTCTATTGCTTTTAAAAGTTTTGTGCTAGCATAGTGAATATAAAATCTGTATCATAATTACAAATACTGTAATACATACATATATATATATACATGTTGTATTTCTGTATTTATATAGTATAAATTTTTTATAAATTGTGTAACATTTTAATATTGTTTTGGTGATCTAAATTTGGATATTTATAATAATTTAAGTGATTTAAAAAAAGGCCCAATTCCACAAATTGGCCGATATAGCTAATTCTTAGATCTTAATGATATTTAAATTTTAATTTTTTGCTAATTCTTTCTGTCTTAATAAAATTAGCTAGTCATTAACCAAGTTAATTTTTGCTAATTCTTAGGTTTCAACATTATTAGCTCTTAGAACCCAGTTAGTAAATAGGTTTGAGTTTCTAATATTTTGCTAATTTTTAGATCTTAACATTATTAATTCTTAGGTCTCAATTTTATTAGCTTTTAGAACCCAGTTGTTACCTGGGTTAAATTTTTAAAATTTTGCTAATTCTTAGACCTAAGAACCTGACCATTGTCTGGGTTTGAGATTTTAATTTTTTGCTAATTCTTAAATCTAAATTATATTAGCTTTTAAGATTTACCCTAAATTCGAGATTTTAAATTTTTTTAATTTTTTAGATTTTAAATTATACTCTAAATAAAATTAGGTTTAAAGAACCTAAATTGGGTTCTAACGAACCTGAATTTGGTCCAAATTGGGTTCAAATGAACCTAAATTTGAATCAAAGAACACAAATTGGATTCAAATGAACCTGAATTTGGTTCAAAGAACCCAAATTGGGTTTAAACAAACCTAAATTTGGTTTAAAGAACCCAAATTGGGTTCAAATGAACCTGAATTTAATTTGTTTGGTTCAAACAAATCTGAATTTTGTTTAAAGAACTCCGAATTAGATTCTAATAAACCCAAATTGGGTTGCAATCAGTGATGTAAATTGGGTTCGCGCAGTAGGCGCAGCGTACATAGATTTAAATTTGCGCGTATAATAGCACTCTCCGTATATATAGCGCGCGTATAAATTTTTTTTTTGTGCACATTTTTTTGCATTTGCACCAATAAATTTTTTTTGAATTTATAACACTAGTTGCAATGAACCTGAGTGGTATAATTTCAAATTTCGGCCTAAATTAAGCTTAATTTGGGCCGAAATTTAAAATTACACCCCTATGTATTATATATGGTATACTTTTTATTAGTTTTAAAAAAATATATATTTTTTACTATATAAATCTCTTTTCAAGATCTAAGTAAAGTTGTAGAGGAGTGTCTTGTAATCAAAATAGCAGTAAAAATGTTAAAATCGGCCTAGTGTATCACAAGATATAAGCCTTTTCATCTTCGCAACTACATGTTTCTTCTTTATATAAATAAAGAAAACATATAGTCGTGAAGACAAAAATGCTTATATCTCGTAATTAACCAGGCCAATTTTAATACTTTTACCACCATTTGATTATAAGACACTCCTCTACAACTTTACTTAGATCTTGAAAAGTTATTTACTTAGTAAATAAAAAAGAAAAACTCCAGATTCCAAAGACAATTACAAAGATAATAGTAAACACATTTTGTATAACAATGTCTTTGCTGATCCTTATATTCACGCCTTTAGCCCAAGATATCTCCAGAACCACTGGGCCGATTTTAATGTTCTAACTGTCATTTTGACTACAAGAACCTCTTCTACAACTTTATTTAGATTTTAAAAAGAGGTTTTTAAAGGTAATATGGACCAATGAAATACATAGAAAAACGTCGGCAAAATTAATTAGTGATAGAGAACTGTGTAATAGTAAAGGATAGACCAGTTTTTTGGTAAAATAAATTAGTTTTACTAGCAACTTTAAATAGGACTATATATAATATATAATCTTATCCCCTGCTTTTGCTATTCGCTTATTTATATATCAAAAATCAACTGAATTCAATAACTCAAAGTTTATTTGTTCTTAGAATACACTATGTTGTATATTATATCTAATATTCTGTAAAAGTAGGTGATTAGAGCTTTAATCCTAATCCAATAATCTAGTCAGGTACCAAAAATTCTAACTCTAAATTTTGCCAAGTTTTTAAACAAGTAGGATGTCTAAAGTGGAGTAAATCTTATAATATATATTTATTGAGATAAATTAAGTTTAAAACAATTGTATATAAGCAAAATTGCCCTCTTGATATTTTTAATTAACTTAATAAACATGGCATATAACGGCCAATTGATGATCAAAGGGGTATCTTTAATCAATACAAAATTCCTAGTAAGTTAGAAATTCTGAGAGAGATAAACAGTTGTTTCAGGTCATATTAGCCAAACAGCCTGGTGAGTCTTTATTAGAATAGAGTATTATACTATTTTAAAGTAGTACTTTGTATAATAGTTATATAGTAGTTCAAAAAATAAATAAAGGCAGAACCACTTAATATATAAAAAAAAAATTAACTTACCAAAAGTAGATTTAGACTACTATTTTTTGTATTTTCAAGAGAGTTTCACTTTTATTTCTTGTCAGGAATCATCAAATTCTATAATTTGATTGGCCATATTTTATATTATTTTGCTTCGCTTTAGATGATCTCTAAACAAGATATATATGTTTAAATTTTCTTTCTACAATATAGATAAAAAAAATAAATGTAGTATAGCATAGCTCTTTAATATAATCAATATATGGCGTAAAAAAAAATATCTAAGCCAAATTTGAATTAGCAAAAAAAAAAAACCAAAAAATTACTTACAAGAAAAAAGCACATGATATAATGCATTCAGATTTGTATAGTTTCAAGACTACAACAAATAAACCTGACAGTAAAATCTCAATAGCTGGGGTTTATACATTCTTAGTAATTTATATATTGCTTGATTATACCCAATGTAAGATATATCAAGTTTCAGCCTTGATTACTAAATCACCTAATATATTTGCTATATGAAATTTTTTTTTTTAAATGTTAAAGGTGAGATCTTGCTTTTATCTTTATTAAACTTAATGAAAACTTTTTACATAATTGAAAAAGGTTTTAAATTTTAAGCCTAGTGCTAATAATAAGAACTCAGACATCTAAATAATCTAATAGGTAACCTAAATATTTATCTGCGGTCTAAATCTGCTATATGAAATTTTTAAATGCTCTATAAATATTATTTCAAAACAAAACATATTATTTTTAAGAATTTAATCAGAATAACACCCACAGTTGTTATTTCATAAGGGTTAGGGTCTTGTAGCCTAGTAGTCTAGATGCCTAACCCTTCACAGACGAGATCAATGGTTCGATTATAGCTGGTGGTAATTAATTTAATTAATTATCTCTGTAACTTTTAGGAGCTTTCGAATGCAAAACCCTGTGGTGGTAAGACCATGTGATGTATATATTTGGCCGATAAAGAATTCTTGGAAGGAGCCCGAGCTATAGAGAAGACTGAGCACTGCATATGATATGGGTCACAGAAGGTATTACTGCAGAAGGCTATACATGTAAATCCATGATTGGCAAGGTAGCACCAACAACCTTAAGGTGGCATTAGGATCTTGATTGGGAGGATGGCTGTATATGGTATTTCCAGAAGTAGTGAGAGAAGCAGTGAATATAGT